TGTAGGACAGAGTAAAACTGCCCCATAGGGTTTCCAAGGCTGTAAATATTGACAGAAGCAAACTGCTTCATCTTCATCCCACAGAGCAGCTAATAGGTTTGAACTGCTGAACTTTAGGTTAGCAGCCAAATACCTTAACCACACCACCACCCAAACCAAACTCACTGCTATCATCTCAGATCCTACTCATAGTTGCCCCTCATTGGGTTTCTGAGGCAGTATCTCTACAGAAATAAGATTGTTCAGTCTTCCTTCCAAGGAGTGGCTGATAGGTTTCAATCTCCAGCCTTCTGGTTAGCAGTCAAATGCCTTGGACACTATGCCACCAGAGCTCCCTCACAATACCACCACCAGAGCTTATTTATTTCACAATATTATTTATTATTTTTATATTGTTAAACATTCTAATCTTAGTGTAAGGATACTATGAAATCACCCAAGCATAAGTGATATCTTCATTTTTAAGCTTTCTGGCAGCCCACACACAATGGGCCCCATGGTGTGCCAGAAACAGCTTTGCTCACAACCAGGATGGTTGTTGCTGCAACCCAGCTATAATTGGGTCTCTGGGTCTCCACCCAGGGGTTCTTGTTGGACCCTAACCCCTGCTGATCCAGGAAATGGAGCAGGAGCTAACCCATGTTCCAAGTTGATCAGAGGAGCACACAAGTGCTTGCTAGCTCCATCTCTCTGAGGTGGACCCCATCCCATTGGCTAGGGGCTTAAGCTGGCCTCTTCGGATGGGGTCCTATGTCTGCAGATCTCTGGAGCTGCTCATGGAGGCTCATCCTTTTCTCTGCAGGAGTGGAGTTACCCTCACTGCCTCACTCCTTCAACTTGGAGGCCTTCTCATCTATCGAGATCCCACCAGGGGACACAGCCCTGGAGAGCCTCATGCTGTTATATTCTCGGAACCTGAGCATCTCAAATATATCATCACAGAAATTCCAGAGTCTCCTCCGGAAGAGTCAGAAGTCATGCAAATCCATGTCCACCATCATGAGCCAGAGCAGCAAGGAGGAGGAGAAGGGGGAGGAGCAGGTCATCCGAGAGGTGTACTGTTTTCACAGTGACCAATCTTCAGAAGGCCTCAAGGAGGGGATTCTGGGTGGATCCTCACTGTCCAGCTCAGCAACCTCAGGCCTCCTTGGGGCTCAGAGGGAGGCAAGTCGCCACCTGCCCCCTGATCCCAGTCTGGAGCCTGGTGGCCCCTCAGGGAAGGCGGTAAAGCCAGGGCCTGGCACTCCACACAGTTCCAGGCCATTCCAGTAGATAAGGCCAGTCTTGTTCCACCACCGGAGTGTGAGGTCCCTATGCCCACATCCCTTACCACCAAAAACAGCAAGAGAGCATTCTGGAGTATTTGCCAATCTGATGGGTATAAAGTGGGATAACATTATTGCTTAGGTTTTTAATTCCCTGACTACCAGGACATTTAATCATCTTTCTCCTTGTCTGCTGACTGTCTGGATTCCTACGTCAGAGAACTGGCCACAGATTTTCCATCCATTTTTCTATTGGAGTCTCTCTCTCTCTCCGTATATATATGTATAGTTTAAGAGCTCCTCACAGGCCATGAAAATTAACCTATTGCCTACTAGCAGCATTATAAATGTTTCCTTTCCCAAAACCTATCATCTGTCTATTAATTGTATATGTTTTCTTTTGCTTTATGAATGTTTTAAAATTGTTCAATGGAGCCATCATTTTATTATCTCCCGGGTTTTCAGTTTTGATTTGGAAAATGTCTTGAACCTTCAGTTTCTATTTAGATAGCCATGATTTACTTGTGGGATATATTATGGATTGACATAGTGGCTGCAGCAATGGGGTAAGGTATGGCCGAGATAGTGAGGCTGGCATGGGACCAGGCAGTGTTTTGTTCTGCTGTGCACAGGGTCTCTGTGAGTCAGAGGTGACTCGACAGCACCTAACAACAACAACCACACTTGCATGATGTTCTTTGACATTTATTCTTCCACAGATTGTTAGGATTTTCTACAATTCCAACAACAATTCCTGCTGGACTCAAATTGAAGTCACTTGAGATGTAAATACAGTATTTGAGACACTATGACACTGTCTTCCCTCCACGAACCTATTATGCTTTTATTTTCATTCAGAGCCTATTTACTGGATTTTAAATAAGACATGGTTTTCTTTATGTAGGTTCTTGACTGACTTGTTAAATTTATCCCTTTTGTGGTTGTTGTTGTTGTTGTTATGTGCCATCGAGTCGGCCCGACTCATAGCAACCCCTCCTTGGGTTTTCGAGGCAGTGTCACTACAGAAGCAGGATTGCCCAACCTTCTTTTTGTCACTGTCACAAATGAAATATTTCTCCTATTTCTATTCTAGATTGTCACGGTCAGAGTAGAGAAAACCTTGACTCACTTGCCGATTTTATCTTATGCTCAGAATTATTAAATTATCTTAATACTTTTACTAATTTCTTTCTAGATTTTCTTAGGCTTTGTAAGAATGAAACCATGTTATCATAAAAATGTATCTGTCCTATTTCCATATTGATGCCTCCTTTTATGGTCTCATCTCATTGTATTTTCTGAAATGAACAACACGGTTAATAAAAGGGAACAAGCATGCCTGTCAAGAACTGTTTTGATTAAAATAGTTTTAGGTTTTTGCTACTTAAAAATAGTATGGTTCTAGTTTTTTGATCGGTGTTCTCGTTTCCCTCAAGCTGGCTTCTATTCCTGCTTTTCTTGGAGTTTGCACTAGGAATGGCTGCCAGATTTCAGCAAATGACTCTGCCTCTTCAGTTTGGGCCAATCGTGAGGTTTACCCTCATTCAGTTCATTAACAAAGTGACTTTCATTTTTGTGGAGAGATTCCCTGAGGTTGCACCATCCTTGCACTCCTGGTCTAACCCCTGCATGGTCTAGATGCTTCAGATTTGCTGTGGGCCTGCAGCCCCAGAGAGTCTGTGGGGAACATGCTTCTGTAACTGCTGTGGGATTCAGGTGAGTCAGGGCTCCTGGTCCAGCAAACTGCTTTACTCCCCTGGAGTCTCTGTCCTCAGGTCATGCCCCCTTGTGCACATTTCCCCACTCGAGTCCCAGTCAGGGTGCAAGTGGGGTTCAGGAGGCCAGCCCCTAACCACTCTGGAAGGACCAGGGAAATGGCTCACCCAGACCCCGCTCACACAGTTCCCAGCCCAGCTAGGCCAGGCAGTGTCCTTGGGATCACCCCCACTTGCCCCAGGGCAGCCCCCCCTCAAGCCCACCCTTGAGCTGTGGGCTCCCAGTTGGAGAACATGCTTCTGTAACTGCCATGGAATTCGGAAGGGTCAGGGCTCCCGGGAGGTTGGGGAACTACTTTATTACCCTTGCCCACCAGGATGGGACCCTGGGCCCTCCTGAGATCAGAGGGGAGTCCCAGGCCTCTTGTTGGGGCCATGTGGTGGCCACTCTAGGTAGGTGTATCAGGAACTGGTCTCTTAGGTCCCCACCCTCTTGAGACAGATCCCTGAGTCCCTGTAGCCACATGGGGCTGCCCCAGACTATGTCCCCCATGATCCTGTCATTCCAGTTGCTCTGACCATGGGGACATTGGGAGTTGCAGGCTGAGATCCCACTTTGCCTTCCTTGCTGTGTCTGCTCGGTGTAAAACCTCTGGAGACCTGGTGGCCTCTCAGGGCCTGAGTCCAGGCAGCTGTCTGGGGACTCCTAGCCCTTGGGCCATGTCTAGCTCTTCCCATCACACCCCTCCCTGTGGGGAGTCTGGGCATGTGGTCCCTCTACCTCCTCTCTTCCTCATCTTCACCACCCCCATGGCCATTCGTCACATGAGGAGTTGCCTGCTGGTGTGGTGGTCACTGAGGACCTCGGCCTCTCCTCCAGCCAGAGCCTGCTCTTTCTGGGTTGACAGTCTGTGTGCCTAGTGCCCAGCACAGAGTCAGCCAATCATGGGGGCTCCTGATGAAAGGAGGCTTGGGAAGGAAGGGCCATCCTCCAGCGTCACGGCCAGTCCTGACACACCCCTCAGGTGACAGTCAGGCTGTTCTTGTTCCTTTCTGTAGTTCATGCAGTCACTCGACCATCCGGTAGGACCCACATCATCTCAGGACTACAGGATGCCGGTGCTGACCTTGGACAGGGCTCAACACTGGGATGCCTTCTTCACCAGCACTGTCACCGTCACCAGTGGGACCACTGATCGAGGGCGGCAAGAAGTTGATGCTCACCTTTGACCCCGCCAGGCCTGACATGTGGCTGCCAGGCAGGTCCTCCTGCGTCCTTCCTTGTGGAGCTGGCTGCCAGCACTGCAGCCTGGGATACACGCACTGTACACGACAGCGGCCACGGCTGCTCCCACTCATAGTGAGGGCAGCAGGAACTACTGGTAAGCCTCGGCCACAGGCGACAGGGTCCTCCACTCGGCCCCCTGGGACAGCTGCCTACCTTCACGTCTGGGTGGAATCTTTGTGAACTACTGAGCCGTGCCCTTTGGCCGTTAACCTGTCAGCGGTCTCTGCACTGGGACTGGGGCCTCCCTGGAGCCTCAGCTGAACCATGGAAGACGTCAGCTAGGGAACACAAGGTGGCAGCCTGCAGCCACGGACGGGGAGCCGATGTCCTGCTCAGCAGACACGAGCATGGACATCCTGAGCCCAAACGTCCGGCCCAAGGCCCCACCTCAGTCCACCCTCCTGGTCCTCAGAGCAACCCAGGCAAAGGAGGGAGAGTGGGCATCGTGACCCTAAGTGTCCAGCCCTGTGCCCCTCCTCAGTCTACCCTCCTGGCGTTCGGTGCCTCCCAGGCAAAGGAGGGAGAGCCCCAATCAGCCCCACCACCAGATAGAAGCCTACTGCCACCGATCGATGCCAACTTAGAGCAGCCCTTTAGGACAGGGTTGAACTGCCTGCCCCATAGGTTTTCCAAGGCTGTGTATCAATGGGGAAGCTGACTGCCTCATTTTTCTCCCAGGGAGTGGCTGGTGGCTTCCACTCGCCAACCGTTTGGTTAGCAGCTAAATGCTTTAACCACTACACCCCTAGAGCGCCTCACCAGGCACATACCCATTACCATTGAGTAGAGGCCGACTCATGGCATCCCTTTAGGACAGGGTAGAACTGCCCCATAGAGTTTCCAAGGCTGTAAATCTTTATGGAAGCAGACTGCCCCATCATTCTCCCACTAGTGGCTGGAGGGTTTGAACTGCCGACCTTTTGGTTAGCAGTTACCAAACAGAAGGAGATGAATAAAGGACAAGTTGAGCTGAATGAGAAAGCCCTCGAGTCATGTTTGTGTTGCTGGGCTTGGGGATAGAGGTTGGAGGTCGCTGGTGTGCACAGGTGAGGCCAGGTAAACCGCTCAGGACATGAGGCCCTTCACCTGCCTCTGTGGGGTCTGAGCTGTTCCCAGTGACGAAGGAGGGACAAGGTCGGGCCTCAGCCAGGGCCCAGTAGGTACATCCTGCTTGGTGGCTGGCAGTCTCCCCAGCATGCCCCCCCGGAGGGGGTGTCCACAGGAACCTCTGTTCCTCACTGACCTCTGCCTTCACCCTTGAGTGGCCCTCTGCTAGGTGGCTGCCCCTCCCCTCCCTGGAATTCACAGTCCCCCATGTAAGAATAATCCAGACTCGGGGGGCTCCTTGAACCCCCATGATCTGCAGGTGGCAGATGGTGTCATGTGGATGGGTGGTGTCCAGTCCACCACCCCACCACCCCAGGAGTCTCTGTGAGCCCTAGGATCCCTGCCAGGGACAGGGGTGGAGAGCCATGGATGGAAGACTTGGGAGGATGATTCTCAAACCAAAAATCCCCAAGCAAACCCACTACTTTTGAGTGGATTCCAACTCACAGCACCCCTAGAGGACAGCATAGAACTGCCCCACATTTTTTCCAAGGTTGTCAATCTTCACAGAAGCAAAGCCCGAAGCACACCCACTGCCGTGGAGTCCATTCTGACCCACAGTGCCCCTAGAGGACAGAGTGGAACTGCCCATAGGATTCCCAAGGCCACTCCTCGGAAGGAAGGTTGGGCAATCCTACTTCCGTAGTGATACTGCCTCGGAAACCCAAGGAGGGGCCGCTATGAGTCGGGGCCGACTCGACGGCAAGCAACAACAACAACATAATCTTCATGGAAGCTGACTGCCTCATTTTCCTCCAGCACAGTGGGCTCAAGCCACCAACCTTTGGGTTAGCAGCTGAGTGCTCTAACCATTAAGCTTTCAGGGCTTCTGGATGACTCTCAAGAACACATGAAGTAGTGAGAAAATCAAGTTCTACTTGTATCATATGTGAGTGAGGTGATGCTCAAATTCATGCTGGAAAGAGAGAGAAGCGAAGAGAGACAGAGAAAATCAGACAGAATGAGAGAGACAGACACAGAAAGAACAGAGTGACAGAGACAGAGAGACAGAGACATTGACAGAGTGAGACAAAGAGAAAGTGAGACAGAGTGGCAGAAAGAGACAAAAGAGAGACGAGTTGGAGACAGAGATGGAGCAACAGATACAGAGAGACACAGAGAGACACAGAAACAGTGAGACAGAGACAAAGAGACAGAGGCGGACAGACTCAATGTCTTCTTAAAAACACCATCAGTGAAGTTAAGAGAGTTAAGAGCTACTAACTGCTGATGAATGAACAACTTTCCAACGAGACCGAGACTCCGAAGACTCTCTTTGACCCACGTGCCCACCGGGTCAGAAGGGGTCCCCCTGCCCGCCCCCCACATGTGACAGCCGGCTGCCCTCCGGGAGCGTGGTCAGGCTCACTAGCTCGTCTCAGGGAGTGCAGCCCATCCTCAGTGCCTTACAGTCACAGGGGGAAGCCACCCTCCGTCCCTGCTCCCCGAATATTTCACCACCTCCATGTCCACGCGTCCAGACCAGTGCGGACCTTTAGCGCGACCTCTCCGCACTGTGGGGGATCCGCGTGGCTCCGATGGAACTGGCTTGCAAATTTCAGTCTTGGTGTGTGTGTGTGTGTGTATTCACGCCCAGGGTGTGTGATTTTTCCTCCAAGTGCTGGTGCCCTCTGCCGGTCCATCCAGACATTGCAGTAGGTAAAGTCCCCAGAATAACAATCCCATTGAGGAGCCCTAGGGGTCGCTAACCAGAAGGCGGGCGGTTCAAACCCACCAGCCCCTCCTCGGAAGGAAGATGGGACAATCTACTTCCATAGAGATACTGCCTCGGAAACCCAAGGAGGGGTCACTATGAGTCGGGTCTGACTCCATGGCACATAATGGGTAGCTACGAGTCTATCTGACTCCACGGTCATTTGGTTGAGTTTGGTTGGTTTTTGGTAGAAGCATAGTAGTGAAAGCGCTTGGCTGCTAATCAAAGGTCAGAGGTTCAAACCCCCCAGCCTCTCTGCAGGACAAAGATGTGGCAATCTGCTGTCGTAAAAATTACAGCTAGGAAACCGTATGGGGTACTTTTACACTGTCCTACAGGCTCACTTTGAGTCAGAATCAACTCAAGGGTCATGGGTTTGGTTCTGTTTTCTTCAAGGAGTTCTGGTGGTGTAGTGGGTAAGGCATTTGTCTAATGACTGTAAGGTCAGTAGTTCAAACCCACCAGCTACCCCCAGGGAGGAAGATGAGGTGATGTGTTTCCATAAAGGTTTACAGCCTTGGAAACACAATGAGAGTCGCTATGAGTCAGAATTGACTCGATGGCTGTGGGTTCGGGTTGCACAGTGGTTAAGCTCTCGGCCTTTAACTGGAAGGGTGGCAGCGCAAAGCCCCCAGCTGCTCCGTGGGATGACGATGTGGCCGTGTGCTTCCGTGAAGATGACAGCCTGGGAAAATCTACGGCACACTTGCTGTGTTTCCAGTGGGTCACTGTGGGTCAGAACCGACTGGGTGGCAACGGAACAGCTGTGGAGGATCAGATTCAGCCGGGCTGGGGTGAGGCTGGGCTGGCTGGAGGAGTTAGGGCCCAGAGGGCCTTGCAGAGGGGAGGCCACGGCGGCTCGGAGGCGGGGCTCCCAGAGCCCGGGGTGAGGAGGCTGAGCTCGGATGCCTGGGCCCACTTTGCCACTCTGACTTCTCCGCCAGCTGCCGGGTCTGTCCCAACACTGCATTCAGACTCAGCCAGAGGACGTCTGGGGTGTGTCCCCTTGTGCGGCGGGCTGCTGGCACCCTTATATCCAAGGCACTTTTTGTTGTTTGTGTGTCTCTATTGCTCCGTCTATCTGACACCTGTAGCCCCTTAAACAGACATGTTAACATTTACCACCAAAGCAGAGCATGAAATAAATATTCACTTATTTTATATATTGACAGGACATTTGTTACATATTTTCATCATAAATACTGTGAATGAGTGTCATTTACTCTGTGGTCTACTTAGCATATCACTGGCAATATGTTGTTGTTGTTATGTTGTTAAGTGCCGTCGAGTCGTTTCCGACTCATGGCGACCCCATGCACAGCAGAACGAAACACTGCCCGATCTCGCGCCAGCCCCACAATCCCTGCTATACTCGAGCCCATCATCGCAACCACCATATCAATCCATCTCCTTGAAGGCCTCCCCCTCTTTCGTCGACCCTCCACCCTACCAAGCATGACATCCTTCTCCAGGGAATGGTCCCTTCTTACAACATGACCAAAATAGGTGAGACGAAGTCTGGCCATTCTTGCTTCCAAGGAGCGTTCTGGCTGCACTTCCTCCAGGACAGATCTGGTAGTTCTTTTAGCAGTCCATGGTACTTTCAGCATTCTCCGCCAGCACCACAACTCAAAAGCATCAACTCTTCTTCGGTCTTCCCTATTCATTGTCCAGCTCTCACATGCATACCAGGCGATTGGAAATATCATGGCTTGTGTCAGGCACACCTTAGTCCTCAATGAGATATCCTTGCTCCTCAGCACTTGAAACAGTTTCTTCGCAGTTGACTTCCCCAATGTATATAGTGTGTTCTAACATGCTTGTCACCATCAGCGACAAAACTGAAACAGCCCCTGAAAGAACCTGAAACGTGGCCCACTCTACATGCCTGTTATCAGCAGGTCATGATGCAGACATTGTCTGCCCCCCAGGAAGTCCACAGAATGAAGATTGGGGATCATCCCACTGCAGGGCAAATCCTCTGGGGCCCCTGTACTCTGCCAACGCGTGGGGTCTCCAGTAGTGGGAGTCGACTGGACGGCAAGGAGCTTTGTTCATGTTGTTTCTCTTTTTAAGTTCCTTGTTTTGGTGCAAGAACATCCACGCAGAACACACCCACTC